CCAAGTCTTCCCATTTCTGAAAGTTAAGAGCTGAAAGGACCTAACACCACCTACACAGTAGTTCCCAAACTTGGCTCCCTTGTACAAAGCTTTACAGGTTCCACCTGCAGGAATTTGATTCAGTGATTTAAAGTGAATCAGGAACCTACGTTTAAAAAAAAAAAAAAATCACTTACTTGGGAAATTACTACCCAATCCATCATCTATGCTTTTTAAGAAGAGAGTAGAAACAGAGATATTTGGAAACATTCCCAAAGACATAGTGAATTCAAGGCAGAGAAGACTTCCCTACCCCAATCATGAAATCAAGGTAGAAAAGTTCTTTCCACAGGTTTTCACACATTAAAGATGAAAAAAATAACTTAATTGGGCTGGGGTGGTGGCTCAGTGGTAGAGCGCTCACCTAGCATGCACGAGGCACTGGGTTCAATCCTCAGCACCACATAAATGTGAAATAAAGATATTGTGTCCACCTAAAACTTAAGAATAAATATTTTTAAAAAACACAACTTAATTTCATAAAGTTCTTCTTTTTAATTTTTTTAAATTTACTTTGAGCAGGGTAATATGAAACAGTGAGAAACAGGGTTTTCATTAATATCTGTTCTATAAAGACCTGAAAGTAGTTTTTTAAACTTTCTAAACTGATAGAACTTTAGATTAAACCCTTCAAATATAAAGCTTAACACATGGATTTATACCTGATATCCAAACATCCTCTTTAGGCCCATTTAAAAAAAAAAGAAAGAAAAGAAAATTCTTAGCAATCTTGGTGTTTCCACAGTCCACGGGCTGGATTCACTTTGGTGAGTCTGGACTGGGAGCTCCATTATAATCTTAGATGGGTCACAAGTTATGGCTCTCACCAGTTCCCATCACAGCTTGCTCCATCTTTGTTCAGCAGATATTCAGCTTTTGTCAATTTAACAATAAAAGGATAAGGCTAAGCCAGAGCCTGACTCACAACAGGAGTCATAATAGGAGAATCAGGAATCCTGGACCAGTCCAATGAGCATTCCAGTTGAGCACAGAGCTGAGCAGGAACTTGAGGGGAAAAGGCTTCAGAAGCTGCCATGGCTTGCAGACTTCAGTGATGAAGTAAACTCGCCTTCCGTCTGGAACACTGTCATTCTGGACACGATTACTTATGGTGACTAATAACAAGTGCTTTACCCTGTTATGTCATCAACGCTTATCAAGATAAGACCCAGACAAAAGTTTATATCAGTTGTCAGTTTCTATGAAAATCCCCTGTATTTAGACTTCTGTGATTCATTCCCAATAATTAACATGTCCTCAGAAAAGACGAATGCTGAAATCTAAATCAGACATGGAACTGCAGCAATACCAGATTATCACCACATTCCTTCATGCATTTACTCAGTCTCAAGTTACATCTCACAACCATCAACCAGTGGAATCAGCTTTTATAATTAGACAAAGAAAATTCCTCATTGCACACAAAATCAGTGAAAAGGGAAGGAATGCAGGAAGGACAGAAGAACTTGTGACAGTAATGACCAGAACATAGTCACACCCAGCAATGTACAACCTCCCTGGGAAGTTTGTCACAAGCACAAGACTATCAGCTGACTAGGCTTTGGTTTTTTTTTTTTTTTTTCTCCACCCATTTCATTCAACCTGTCCAACAGCTACTTTTTCTATTAAGTAGTATCAGAGTAGAATTTCACACTGTTTCTATGTGCAGAACACAATGAAAAATATTCTTCCCACGCCTACAACCTGCATTGTACTTTATTTTAGCAGCCTTTTCCTAGACTCTTCACAATTCTTTGGTCTGGTGCTTTAACATACTGCTATCTAAATCTGGGACTAGTTCTGCATTTCCTAGTCAGTAATCCTAACTTCTATAAATAAAGACTGGTAGCAAATCATGATTGGCTTATGTCTGTGAAGCAGTTCACTAGTGAAAATACACCTTGGTTTCTGCACTCACTTTCCTCTTAAAGCAACCACCACAGACAATCTAAGAATTTTCCTTTTTAAACAGAATTAGTTGACCTAAAATGTATGTGAATCCATATCTAAACTCAATCCTCTGCTTTTTCCATCCAGGGGATTGTAGTGTTTTGGTGTTGGGGCCAGGGTCACCACTGAGTCACACCCCAAGCACCCATGATGGTAACTAAAGCAGCACAGAAAATTTCTTCTGAATTCAAATTTCAAGATATGAAACTGTAAGCTTAATTGACTCTGAAGTATTTTGTTTCAGTTCCTCTTCAGCATGTGAAGGGTACACTTTAAAACAAGAAGGTATGACAGGTTTTCTCTTACCACTGATTCACAGATATGTTTGGCAAATGTTCATATAAACAGTCCTAGGGCCTTATCTAATTTTCTGAATAAGGCCAAAATCAAAAGTTGTTAATAGCCTTGCTACAGTCCAGATTTTAAGACAGGAAACTGGAAGCAATTATTTGAACACTGCATCATATACTCAGCATCATACTTCAAAGTTACCATATCTGAATTGTTACCAAGGAGATTTGTATTGACAAAGGACTGACAATGCCTCATGAAACTGTAGTTCTTTGTTAAATCTGCAACTTCGTAAAATGAACTGAACCCCAATATCTGTCAATACAGAGGTGAAGAGGAGTGGAAGTGGACAACTTCTATCCATGAAACCACAATGAGATAATAAAAATGTTTCTTTTTGCATTGAATTATGTCTGTTTAGCACAGTGGCCACTGTTATGTATGCCATGTGACTCTAGTGTATTTGTGGAGACTTTTTTATTCATCTTTTGAATTACTGGGGAAAAAAATCATAAGGGCGGAAGGGGGAGTAGGGGGTGTACAAATCTCCCTACTGGTCAGTATGCTCAACTAAGAAAACTACCTGATATTATTGATTTCAGATAGCCAAGAGCAAAAGGTGAGTTGAAAGTCTCCCTAACTGACTGCCACATAACTCAGGCAAACAGATAACTCATGAGCACTTTGGAGCCTGATCCCCACAGTAGGAGCTTCTGTCAATAATTCACTTCTATCCCTGAGGTTGGCCCAACTCATAATAAAGCTGGAAACCAGCACAATACTGCAAAGAACACATATATTCTTAAGACTGTAACAAAGGGAAGAGAAAATGGGTGACATCTACCAAGGTATCTGGTAACCAGAGATTAATTCCAAATTAATCTAAAAATCTATGGCATCATTGTAAAAAATTTTTTTGTAAACCTTAGCATTAGGAAAGTAAATCTAAAGGAGGTTAAGATAAAAGGGTGGCACACACCTGTAATCCCAGTGATTCGGGAGGCTGAGGCAGGAGGAGCACAAGAAGTTCAAAGCCAGCCTCAGCAACTTATCAAGGCCCTGAGCAAGACCTTGTCTCAGAATAAAAAATGAAAAGAGCTGGGGATATGGCTCAGTGGTTAAATTCTCAGTACAGGAAAAAAGGTGGAGGGGAATAAAGAAAGGGGAAATGAGTACAAAAACATTTCATTAAGTTTAAAGTGTTGCTTAAATAAAAATAGTTAAAATCCTACCCAAAACAGCCAAGTCACTGAAAGGTTAGCAGCTTATATAAAAATTCTATTTTATTTTTTTTTAAATGGTGTACACCAAATAACTTACTAGGAGAGGTGGAATTCTATAGGATAACCAAAATACAGAATACAGAAGGTCCTAATAGTATATCTTAGAATATTTTAGAAAATAATTTTAAAGTAATATGAATCTACCATATAGTTTAACAACTGAGAGTGAGACCCAGAAAATCTAAGAGACCTCCCCATGGTTATAAGGCTCCTGGGCAGCAGAGCTGGGGATCTCAATCAGGATTCAGATAAACTGAGCCATTCCATCACTCTCCTATCACCCAGCTGTACTTTCTTGAAAAGAAATAGATAAAAACATTATAAAAGTGAAATCCTTATCCGCATACTCAAATGTATTTTTCTAAAATACCACATCATTCATTACCTCCTCTTCTACAAACATCTCTCTTTGAGTGGACAACATATGACCCAACACTTTTGAAGTGACTTCCCCCTTCTAACTCTCTAATCTACTGGGTTCTCAGATTATAGTGAAGTGTTTACCCTTTAATTAAGTTTCTCCTCAAAGATTTTTACATGACAGAAACTATATCCTGGTTATTTGTCATTCAAATCAATGAACATACTTATAAGATAAACAGCTTATAAAATGTGCTCATTTTGAGCCAATTCCTGTAAGAAAAAAGCATTTAAGTGAATTTAGAAACTTTATACTATTCGTGAGAAGCAGAGCTTAACCTTTGGTTCTCCTTACTATCGAGAGACACAAGATTTTGAAATGAAACACAATTCTCAAAGTTTTTCCTTTCTTTCTTCTTCTTCTTCTTATTTTTTTTATATGCAATATTCTTTACAAATAGTGTTTCAATTAAGTTCCATTACTAGTGAAATTAATGAATTCTTCCAAAGTAGATGAAATAAACTAAACGAATATACCAAGTATAAAGTTATTCTTTTTAGACAAGCTCCAGTATTAAAATTATCCCTCTCTCGTGAAAAGGATTTTCCAGAGGGAGACTGGGCTCTCCTTCAGCACCCTGCCTCCACCAGAAGGCACAGGCATTCACCTACCATGCAGCTAGGAAGAAGCACAATCCTGTGCCCTATCTACTAGGTATGGAGGTACTTCAGGACTACAACTTTTTCCCCCATAAATAAATGCAAATAGTATTGTTCAAGTTGCAACAAGAGGACAAGGATATAACCATTTCTTTTAAGTTGGCTCCAGCAAACATAATCAAAAGTTAAGAAAGCAGATGGGTAGTAGAAACATAAGAATCTCTAAAAAAAATGCCCAAGCCTAAAACTTTTTCCGTAAAGGAAAAGTCTTCTCTTTGTACACACATCAGTAAGCCCATTTCTCCCACTTTGAGGCATTACTGAAAAACAACTTTCAAGTCAATACAACTCTATCTACTTGGTAAAAGTGAATTAAAACTTTCTCTGAGACTTTAAAATAGAACTAAAATTTCAAACCTGTCATCTGGTTCCGTGTGATCAGAACCCCTTCCAACCCCAGCACATTTTCGAATCTTTGTGCATAAAAGCGTCTTGTAAATTCTCCCAGCACCAGAGACGACACCACTCACACATCTGGCCGAATCTTGCCAGCCTCCTGGCCAGTTTGTGGTTTTTGCTGTGCCGCCACACATCTTCTGAGTGGTTTAATGTTCTTCCGGTTTATCCCAACCATCAATGTGAACGTGGACTTGGACACAAATCTTGAAGTTCCTTTGTTATTTGAGGAATATTCCGCAGCGACCAGCAGTTCTAAGCTATCATTTCACTCCCTATACAGTATATGAGACAAGCTACTTGGCAACAGCCTACTAATTTCCTCTTTAAGAAGCTTTAAAAAAAAAAAAAAAAGAGGAACATTCATTTGCTACGTAAATTAAGCCCATGGATGATTTAGGAAGTCAAATGCATCCATCACATTATAAAACATGCTCTCAGCAAACCCATTATAAACATAGACGAGTACAAATCCCACTTCCTACTTTTGTTCCCAAGCTTGTACTCCAGTTAGCAAAAGAAAAAACACTCAACAGGTTGAGCAGCTTGGACTGACTCACTCCATCTGCACTCCCTAGCTGGAGATTATGTTGTAGTCAATTAATTGGTCACAAGACTATTCATATGGCTCTGGGCAGTTGCAGTGACTTGCCTTCAGCTGCAAGGTTGTTCTGACATTGGCCACACCACCCTCTTAATGGCTCTCATGTGAGCAAGTGTCAGCTGACAGGTCTTACTCTGCAACCTTGCAAAACTCTACCCATACCAAGTGAGAGACAGCAGCCAAAATGTAGGACTAAATGTATATTATGGTGATGTAGGGAGAAGGAATCGAGTACGGACATACTTTTGCTTTAATATAGGGAAAAAATTAGTAAGCAAAAAGAGTAACGATAATGACAAGCCATAAACCCTCAAAACTCTTGCACTAAATTCCAACACATCCAAGTTGAGAAAGCCCTAGGACAAAAGCCACTTCAATTTTGACTTCTGATACTAACATACATCATCTGAAAATTAAGACTAATGTTATAAAATCAATATCATTCTATGAGTTCATGGATAAAACATTTTCTGCCTATCTACCTATCATGCTGGTGACTGGACCCAAGGCCTTGCCATGCAAGGAAAGCACTCTGCCATTGAGTTACACCACAAAGCCCCAAATTTTCCTTTTAGAAGAAATAAAAATTATAGTACCCCAGAATACAGGTAAAATCTGATACAAACAAAAACCCAACAACAAGTGATTGCCCCAATTTCTTTTCCTCATCCTGGAATCTGGCTGAAGAAATATTAACAGACCCCTAAAATTTGGTGAACCCTTGGCTGCCTCTTTGGTTATAGGAAGCTTTAAATATACCTTCACATATGGTAGCCATGTATTTCACTCCACTCATATGAGGAAAAATTGATGTAGGACAGCCCTAACACATGACTGTATATTCAATCCCTGAAAGTCTCCCTAAAATGAACTCAAAAAAGATCTAAAATGCACTCTCCCTTATGAAATAAAGATTGCAGTACACCTATGGCAATAGCTTGGCTTCAACATGGCACATGCTAAATTGACAGTATCAAGTCAAAGTAAATTAGGAGGGGCTGGGGTTGTGATTCAGTGGTAGAGGGCTCACCTAGCATGTGCAAGGCCCTGGGTTAGATCCTCAGCATCACATAAAAATAAATAAAACAAAGGTATTGTGTCCAACTACAACTAAAAAATAAATATTAAAAAAAATCAGATTAGGAGAGGATGAATTCATTTTTCAGGAAGGAGAACACGTTGAGCTTAAAGCTTAACTGCAGGGCCATAGTCTGGTCATGGGTTCTTTTTCCCCTTGAGCTGTCTTTAAGATAACTTTCTCTTTTTAACAAAGACTCAGAAGATTACTTATACTTACTTATACAGCACTATAAAAGTATTTTCAGGGGCTGGGGATGTGGCTCAAGTGGTAGCGTGCTTGCCTGGCATGCGTGCGGCCTGGGTTCGATCCTCAAACCACATACAAACAAAGATGTTGTGTCCGCCAAAAACTAAAATAAATATTAAAAATTCTCTCTCTCTCTCTCTCTCTCTCTCTCTCTCTCTCTCTCTCTCTCT